TCGTGTCCATTTTTGGAAGGCCAAACAAAGTAGTTTTGCTTTCACAACGAAACACAGCGTCACACACGGCAGCCTAGAGTGAGCAGAAGCTGGGGGCTAGAGTGAGGAACGGCCGGTGGGCTTGAGAACGGCGCGGCTGGCAGATTCGACGAAGGAGGGCCGGGTGGGCTTGCGGCAAGCACATGTGATGACCCCGGGCTGGACTCCGCTTCGTCCACGGTGAAAGCAGACCCGGCGATCCACAGCGCGAAGTTGAAGTAGTTCCTCAGCGACCAGCACGGATCAGCTCTAGGCATGACGAAGCGATATCGTCCTCTTTTAGAAGGACAAAGTAGTTTATTTCGCTTTCACAACGAAACACACAGCGCCTTCACAACATGGCGGCGGCGGCAACAACACTACAGCGAGAATAAATGTTCCACCTTATTTCTTTGCATGAACATTTGGGCGGGGTTATGCAAATCTTCTCACATGTGACGTAGATATGTGGGGGCGTATTAGAATAACCATGTTAGGTAGGCGTGGTTGACTCTTAACTTTTATAAAGAATATCTCTTTGGATTTGAGACTTTAGTCTTTGCAACTTTACAGATCTTCTTTATGCACCAAGAGCTTGTAACACTCCAAAGAGAAAGGAAAAATTGAAATCGCATCATATGACCCCTTTAATTAGACTTCTCCATTATTCTAAAATCTGAAAAATTGTAATAAAAAAGAACGAGCAGATGTGTCCAAACATTTGAATGTAAATGAAAGGGGTGAAAGGGCAGACAACTCTGTGAATCCATCTGGCAGAATTGATTCCAAACAGGACAGTCTATGACTCCAGGGTTAAAGTGTTGGCCCTCATCCCCATCCATTAAAAAGCAGCTTCAGGGACAGGATGTGCAGCAGTGGGCAGGGCACAGTATTACATAGGGGTATGCATTAGGGCCTTTCGCACTGCAGGAACCTTTTCAAAGTACCAGAACTAATTGTGGAACTACCCACTTTTTGGCGTTTTTGCACCGCCG